GAGTGGGGAGCCATGGCTGAAGAGCTCCACCACCGCAGGGAAGACGGAATTGAGCAGGGAGCTGGAAGGAAGGACACAGAACTCTTCCATTCATTGTCCGCATGCAGATGGTGAAGCGATTTAGACAAACACCCCTCTGGGAACAAGGTCTCCAACTGGGGAGCAGAAATGCCCAGTGAGGTGACCGGGTGCAGGCAGCCCACCTTCCTCCCGGATCCAGAGCCCGCCGGGGGCGTGGTCTGCAGGCCGTCCTGCCACCTGCTCCTGGGCACCTTGGAGACAAACACTCGGCCCCCAGAGTCTCTGCCCACAGAAGCCCCTCAGCTTCGCAGTTCCTCACCAACTCTGCCGAAGAGGGATGGCTCACCGTGGGAAGAGGTATAAGCAAAATCTCAACAACTCTGTCCTTAAGTTTTCTTTTTCTCGGGGCTGGGGATTATGCTGCTCAGCGGCATAAGCGCCTGCCTTGCAAGTGTGCGGTCGTGAGTTCGATCCCCGGTACCGATAAAAACGAAAAAGACAAAAAAAAGTTTTCTTTTTCTCTTGGGGCGGGAAGGAGGGCACTGCTGAGGTTTGAGCCCAGCGGCCTTGCACTGAGCCACAAGCCCAAATATCTCTGATTACTAGAGTATTTTAAGGCGGGGTTTTGCTAAGCTTCCCAGGCTGGCGTCAACTTTGCCACCCTCCTGCCTCAGCCTCCCAGACTGCTGGGATCACAGAACTGTGCCACCATACCTGGCTTCATGTTTTTCTCCTTTAATAAGTGTTTTTTTTGTCTTTTTATTTTTTATCAGTACTGGGGATCGAACTCAAGACCACACACTTGCAAGGCAGGCGCTTATGCCACTGTGCTACATCCCCAGCCCCTTCTTTGATAAGTTTTAATGCACAAGGAAATCTAACAGACACAATTTCTGTTAGTACTTATGTCACCCAGGCTAAAATAGACCCTTCAGAAGCCAAGTTTGGGAGCGCATGCCTGCAGCCCCACTCACCTGGGAGACTGAGGCAGGAGGACTGCCTGAGTCCAGCCTGAATGACAGAGACAGACCCTGTTTAAAAAAAAAAAAAGACTAAAACATAAAAAAACCCTTTAGGAGCAGCTTTAACTTTTACAGATACTATGATGTCACCTGGTGTGGATTCTGTCTCTTTGACCTTCTTAGGGTATTTCATGCTCCTAGACATTTCGACTGTCTGTGTCAAATCCCCAACTCTACAACAAACAAGTGTACTCCTAGTGGCTCATTTCCCCTCATCACAAGGGAGAAGAGGGGCAGAGGAGAGGAGCAGCCTCACTGGCACCGCGTTAGGTGGCCAGAGCTGAATGCAGCAAAGACGGATGCCACACTGCCAATTCGGCCAAGAAAATCTCACAAAATAAGTTTCAGACTTCTGTTTACTAAAAAGAAGTGCCAGGGAAGTAACAGGACAGAGCAGTAAGTTTTGCAATTGTATTCATTTGCTACTTTTTGTAAGCACACAATCTTGTTTTAAGTATGAGTCTACTGTTAAATTGCAAGTGTGTGTGTGTGTTTGACAGGATTCTGCTATGCCGTTCAGACTGGCCTGGAATTTGCAGTGATTCACCTGCCTCGGCCTCCCAAGAGCTGGGGTTCCTGGTGAGCACCATCATACCACTTGACAAGTTGTCTTTTTACACACACTACACACACTAATGGTGGACAGTGTGGCTTCCAGTCCTAGCTTCTACAAAGAACAAAACCCTGAAAGCATTCATGAAATAATCCAAGTGCAAAATCCTTTCAGATCTTAAGATTTCCCTCCCAGATCTTTCTGTTTGTCCATAACAAAGCAGCAGTTTCTGAGTGACCTGCATTTTACAGTCTGTCCAAATCATTCGAAATACTTCTCACAAAACTATCCTTTTTGAACTCACACTTGAGTGGTTTGTGCCATGTTTAAATCGCATAATTACAGTAACAAGCACAATAAAACACCCGCAGAAACAGGAGTTCACCCAAGTGGCTCTCTGCAAGCCCCCAATTCAGCTTCTGGGAGGCCAGGGCTGGTGATCCTGACCCAGTGGCATACCCTCCCTGGCCCAAGCTGGCTGAAGTGGAAGTCGGGGAGGAGCCTGTCCACCGTACATCGGGTCACAGGACCACAGGAGGCACCTCTGTTATCACAAATACTCAAAACTCAGAAAGGCAGCCCAATGGTAACAATCAGCAGAATGAATGTATAAGGGGGGTTTCCTGGTTACTTTTAGTTTATCTGGAGGAAAAGAAGGCAGAATTTTAGAGCAGAGACTTCCACCGTGCCAATGCCCCCAGCCCTGAACCCTCCGCCCATCTCCTGGGTAACTGTCCCCAACCTCTGGCTCAGCGAGTGCCCTGCAAATGCCCATGCTCACTAGCCAGTTCAGAAGTTCAGCTGCTGCGCCGCTGGCCTGTAAATAAAGCTTTCTGGGGCTGACAAAAGAGAATGCAGGAGGGTCTGATGCACGTCAGTGACCGTCAATGTTCTCATCTCTTCCGCACACTTGTGTCTCCTGATGCTGGCTATGTTTATAAACCTAGGCTCCGTTTCTGTTTACGTTACTATCGTACCACGTAACGTTCTGTAAATCATTCCCTCTTGATTAAAGTCATTAGTGTCCATTAAAAAATAAAACTGAGTGGAACGTCCTTTTAAGTTTGAATTTCACTGTCCCACAAAGCGTAGCAGCCAATACTTCCAGTCTCTGGCACATCTGCTGAGAACATAAAAGTTCTCCTGGAACTAACAAATTACTTCCCTTCCAACACAATTATATAACCTGCGAGTTCAGCACTGCCCTGGAGATTACTCTGTGGTCCAAATCCCTCCCAATTAAAGGACCCCATCTAAACAACTCTGGACAGGGAGGGAGTTGTTTTTTTTTTTTTCTTAATTCTGCCTAACAGAAAGCTGTGGCCACAGTAGGCTCTTTATTTCAAACGCACTTATCCAGCTGAACTCAACAAGTCTAAAACGGTTACACTCCATTTTCTTGTTCTTCCCAGGCTTTAGCCGTAACATCCAGGGAATCTGTAATTAAAGATTTACATGATTCTTCTGCTCATTAGCCAATGTTCAAAAAGAAATTCACTAAAGGAAACACCATAATTAAGCAAGTGTAATCCATTTCAAAAATGTCCTTCTTCTGAGAGGCTGAGGCAAGAGGACTGCAAGTTTGAGCCCAGCCTGGGCAACATGGTGATTCAGGGAAACTATTTCAAAAATAAAAAGGGCTGGGGAACATGGCTCAGTGCAAAGTCCCTGCAATCAATCCCTAGCACCAAAAAATATTTCTCTTTTAACGAATTAAAATTTTAAGCACCGTGAACCAAACTGATGTCACTTGCAAAAGGCAGCGGGGTTAACAACATTAACACTGCTAATGTCAATATGAAATAAATAAAACCTGTAACAAGAAAACAGAATCAAATGTTTGCTTACAATCTAAAAAGGATTCCAGTATATCCAAAATACTCACATGTTTTCAATTTCTAGTATGATTTTTTTAAACAAAAAGCCATGCATCATTTATATGACTAAATTATATAGTCTTCTACTCCTAATTGGGGTGCTCACAGACTTAACCATGGTAATGTAGTAAGATATGTTATTATGCTAATTCATTTCCCCTCCAGTGAACAGCTCCAAGTCCATCTGATTTCCCATAATATGATATAAAGAGAACAAAGCCTACAGAACAGTAGCCAACCCCAATAATTTTACTTTGCTCCAGTATTCCAAAACAGTACTCGGTTTACAATACGGTCTCACTTGGCATCACTAATACAATGCATCTCTTTGGTGGGCTTTTATAACATATGCTAGGGCGCGAAGTACACATTTCCAAATCTCCCCTTCTATTTTTATGCAAAAGAGCACACAAGGGATCCATCACTCACCAGCACAAATAATGCTTCACTAATTTTCTTCAGGCACTAATTTAAATTTAAATATCTCTGGAGAGCAACCCCCGGTAGTCCAGTCTGTCCCTTTCATCACAGCTTTTTTCATAACTAAACCGGTCAAGTTCCTTTCCCCCATTTCAACAGGAAGCACTGCACTGTGGCCGGGCCGCCAGAGCCCACTGCTAAATGCGGGAACGTGCAACACGCTGAATTTCACTGTCCTTCATTGTCTGCAGTGTAACTGCCATTTTACCACCATGCACACGAGAGAAATGCGTTCCCACAGGCATCTTATGAATTTCCAGAGCAGCTATTCTTCGTGGATTTACAGAACATGTGCCTTCTCTGAATTCCCTTCATCGCCCCAGAAACGGCTTTAAGGGGAGGCAAACACAGATTTATTTACTTACTTGGGTCACCCCACCCCCACCCAGGGAAAAAAAAACTGAATTCTAAAACATTATTATGTGCCTAGCAATTCTGATTTCCTAGCAGCTTTAATCCTAAAGGGTCTTCATCACACGGGAAGGGAAGAATGCCTGGGCAGAGATCTGAAAATACCGCTTTAGATCGTCCCAAGAAAAATGAAAAATTTTCAGTCCACAAAACAAAACAACAAAATGATTTTTATCAGTTGTCTTTTCTTCTCTGGGCAATCCCATAAGGGCGAAGCAGCATGCCGCGGAGCAGACAGCTGGCTCGGGCTGGTGCACAGCGCCCTAAGTCTCCCGGACCCCCATTCCCCCGCTCCACCCAACACGCGCCTGGGGCTCGGAGGCTCACATAATCCCCCAGGCACCCCAAACCCGCCGCCCGGGAGGCACAAAGGCCGCCTGCGCCTCGCGCACCGCGGGCCCGCACACGTGTGCATGGTGACACGCGCGGGGCTGCCCTTCTCGGGTCAGAGCCGCGGACACGCGGGTCCCAGCCGCAGCCGCGCCGGCAGCTCCCGAGTGACAGGCGACGACCCCGCGCGCCCCCGCCGCGACCCGCGGCCCCTGCGCCGCCGCCTGAGGAGACCCCGCCCGAGCTCGCCGGGCCGAGCGGCGCGTCCGCACCCCGGCCCCGGCCCGGGCCCCGGCCCCGCCTCACCTCCTCCTCGCTCTCACTGCGGAAACACAGGCACGCGGCCCGCTTCTTGTAGCCGTCGCCGTCGTAGGTGCGGGTCTGGTTCGACTTGAGCTTCATCATCCTCCGGGCCCGGCGCGGGTGCGGTGCGGGTCGCTGGAGTCGAGGGGTGGGGAGCCCGCTCCGGACGGCCTCGCGCGCGCGCGCCCCCGGCGTGCCCGAGGGGAGCAGAAGGGGAAAGCCGCTTCTCCGCTACACGGCTCCGCCGCTGGCCCGCCGCGGCCGCCTCATTCCCCCCGGCCCAGGTCCCGCGCCGCCGTCGCCGCCGTCACGGCTGCCGTTGCCGCTCCCGCCACAGCCGCCGCCCCCTCTGTCGCCGCCACCCCCGACGACGACCACGCCGCCATCTTGGGCGCGCTGCGTCAGCGGCGTAAGGCCGCGCCGGGCTGCCGGACGGCGGCGCGCTCGTAGCGCAGGCCGCGTTCGGGAATCGCGCCCTCCCCATCCGCGTGGCGTAAACGAACGTCTGAGGCGAGAGCGGCGCGCTACGCCCGGCGGCCACTACGTCGGTAGCGTAGGCGTGGAGCGCGCGCAGAGGAAGGCGGGGAGACGCGGGTGTGGGCGCCAGGCAGAGACCCGGAGGTCCTGCTGCGCGGGGCTTTGGAAAGCGGGACCTTGCGGAAGGTACTCCGCGAGCTTGCTGGCTGTGGGCCTAAGTCACGTCTCAGGCCTCTCGGCGGCGTCGGTCTGTTGGAGAGGGAGGGAGGCTAGGGAGAGGGGTAAGCTCAGGGGCTGAAGATGGGATGCGATTAAAAGCCAAGGAGAGGGGCTGGGGATTTAGCTCAGCGACCAAAGCGCCTGCCTTGCAAGCAGGCAGTCGTGAGTTCGATCCCTGGTACCGATAAAAACGAAAAAGACAAAAAAAAAAAAAAAAAAGCAAAGGAAAATGCAGCGTGAAGTGGCTGAGCTGGGGGCGGGGCGGGGCGCCAGTTCATGTGCATTGACAGCCCAAAGCTCCGGAAGTTTTATGCGGCACGGTGGCTCTTAGGAAGAACCAACATTTTTTTTTCCCTTATGTTAAAGACCAAAGGAAGAACCAACATTTATTCTGCAGTCCTTTATTAGTGCAGAAGCACATGCTACGTTGAGGATGGACCTCCGTGGTAGAGCCCTTGCCTGGCATGCCAAGGACCTGGCGTCCATCCCCAGCACTGCCAAATAAAGGAAGACAAAACACCAAATGTTTCTCCTTTTTGAAGGTGCAGAGGGTCGTTGTTTTGCTTTATGACTGTCTCACTGTGTAGTCCAGGCAGATTATCTCCATGCCAGGATTACAGGTGGGCACCCCTGTGCCTGGCCACATGCTTCCTCCTAAGGTATAGGAAAGGGCCAGGTGTGTGAGCGTGTTACACATAATGTATAATATGTATAATGTATAACATAATTATGTTACACATAATTTAAGCCATGAAAAAAATATATATATATACATATATATGTGTGTGTGTGTATATATATATATATATTCCAGGGAAAGATTTTTGTACAGATCTAACAATCTCCAGGAAAGACAAAGGGATATCACGTGTACCTGTTCTCTGCTGCCCTGACCAAACCTAATACAGCACCATTCTGATGCCTTAGTCTTTAGAAAATCCTCTGCAGCATTTGTTGGTGAATTGTTTTTTATTTTTTGAGACAGGGTCTCACTGTAGTTCAGGCTGGCCTTGAACTGGCAGTCCTCTTGCCTTAGCCTGAGTGCTGGGATTACAAGTGTGCACCACCACACCTGGTCTGTATTTAGTATATAACCCAACAAGATCTAGATTTATGCCAAACTGAGTTGGAACTTCAATTACATCACTTTTTAAAAACTGTATGCCTCAAAAAGTTTTTAAAAAGTAAAAATTCGGGGCTGGGGATTTAGCTTAGCGGCATAAGCACCTGCCTTGCAAGCAGGCGGTCGTGAGTTCGATCCCCAGTACCGATAAAAATGAAAAAAGCCAAAAAAAAATAGTAAAAATGCGTTTCAGACATGGTGGCGCACACAGGAGGCTGAGGCAGGAAGATCATTGCGAGTTTGAGGACAGCCTGGGCTACAAAGTGAGCTTAAGACCAGTCTGCACTGCATAGTGAGACCCTGTCTCAGAAAGACAAAGGAGAAGAGCAAGAAGCCAACAAGAAGCTAAGACATCCTGTGAGTCGGTACCATGCACCAACTGACTGGCAGAGAGCCAGACGCCAGTCCGTCCTGCACACAGGCAGGAAGAGAAGAAGAGCCAGTGTTCCTCGCTGCCCGCCCCTCATAAGCAGCAGGCTGATCTGGAGAAACACAGGCTGGGATGATAGCTGATGAAGTAAATACAATAATGTTTGTAGCGTTTATGTTTCACTGACTTTGCGGGCCTAAAACTGGTAGTGTGATCATTATTCAGAGGATAATGACATGCAGAGTGGCATCTCTGGGGGATCTCCTGAAGGTGGTGGCCATTGTTAATTCCCTGTTTTGTTCTGAAATCCTGTATCTCATTGTTGCTTGGTTGGGTTTTATTCTGTTTTATCTTGTTTGATTTTGTTGTATCTGATGGCATGGGCAGCTATTTTGAATATAACAAGATATATTACGGTAGCCATTTTGGATTTACTATTATCATTTTGAAGGCCTGTATTGCAGTCACTGTTTTGTTTTTATTGGTTCTATTCTGTTTCTGCTTTGATTTTACTGTATCTAAATGTATGGGCAGCTATTTTGAAGACAGTAAGAGGCATTATGATAGTCATTGTTGATTTCCTGTTACCTTGTTTTGAAATCCTGTGTCATTTACACTGACTTATTTTGATTTGCTTTATTCTGTTTTATTTTGTTTGGTTTTATTCTCTCTAAAATAAAATTTTTTTAAAAAACTGTATGCCTGTAATCCCAGCACTTGGGAGGCTGAGACAGAAGAATTACTGTGAGTTTAAGGCCAGCCTGGACTACATAGTGAGACCCTGTCTCAGAAACCCAATAAATAAGTATTAGAACTGTAAAATACGGATAAGGAACCCCTGCAGCCCTGGTATCCAGCAGGCATTGTTTATGGCAGGGCGTATTACACCTCCCTCACCCTCTGCCACAGGCGATTGTACAGTTCCAGCTCCTCTAGCTCAGTCTTCATGCGACAGAACTCCCAGCCCCTTGGTCATTTTAGTTGTGTTTCTAGCTTTCTCTTCTGCTGTTAGGTTTCTGATTTAAAACACTGAAAGTCCCTTTGTAGACGTAGTAGATTGTTAAAAATTTGAAAAATACAGAGGGCATAAAAAACCTAAATCATGGGGGCTGGGGATTTAGCTGAGCGGCATAACCACCTGCCTTGTAAGCAGGCGGTCGTGAGTTCGATCCCTGGTACCGGTAAAAATGAAAAAGAAAAGAAAAAAAACCTAAATCATGGCCATCACTGAACACATTCTGTGTATCTGTGTCCTGCATTTTTCACACCCCTTTTTATATCATTTCTATTTATAGTCCATCCTAAGGCTGTGTCATCAATTAGTTTGCCATTCCCCACTGGTAGAAGCTAAAATTCTGTGCTATTTCAGCAGAACTGCAGCCTGGAACATCCCTGAATGTTAATCCTCTCCCTAACTCAGATAATTCCTCAAGATAAATTCTCAACAGTCAGCCAGGTACAGTGGCTGAGGAGGCTGAGGCAGGAGGATCGCTGCCAGAGGGGCCACTGTCAGTGCCAGAGCTTGTCACCTCCCCAGGAGCAGGTGTTGAGGACAGAGGGAGCACGGGTGGCAGATGGTGCCCATACAGGCCTCATGTGTCCCTGCAGCCTGCACGCCAGGCTAGCAGCGCAGAAGCTAAACATGAGGACCATCAGAGCTGCCAGTCACCAGGAGGTCCCGTAGGGACGGAACTCATGGCCCCCAGGGTAGCCTTCCACCCTATGCCCTTGGTAGTGCAGCCTTCGCTCACAGTAGGGTTATGGAAGAGGGCCAGGTAGTGGCCGCTGGCCTGCAGCAGGAACTCGGGCTCCCTCAGTGGCAGGGCCAGGCTGGGCAGGTGTACCTCTGGTGGAAAACCTGGATCTGGCAGAGCTCTGGAAGTCCCAGGTAATGCTGGTGCGGTCCCCAGCTGCACAGGACCATGCTGCTTAGGAACTCAGAGCTGGCTGCAGGAAGAGGCTGCCCAGGGCCTGTGGCACAGCTGCCAAGTGGCTCCTCACCTCCTGGCCGGCCCTGGCGTCCCAAGGCTTGATTTCGGAGCTGAAGCCGCTACATAAGAAAACACTGTGGTCTTTGGGATGCAGTTACACAGCCATGATTCTGAAGTCACTTCCAGTACCACAGCTGGGCTCCTGTTTCAGGGTTGGTCGTGTGCGGCTGTGGGTCTGCAGGCAGCACACCAGCCAGCCTGTCCCTCAGCCTGCAGGCTCTGTCCGATGACATGGACAGGGATAGCTGGCCCCTAGCCAGCTGTGCACAGCACTGGAAGTTGGTGACCTCCTGCAGGTGGAACAGTCTGTCTGCACAGATGCAGCTGGATCCTCTGGGATATCCCAGGGGCCATACAGAGAAGGTGTGGGGCGTGGCCCAACCAGCTCTTCACTCCTGTTCCTCTCCAGAAAGCTGATGTGGCTACCAGCGGCTACAGACTCATCCTGAGCTCAGGAGGGTCAGACCTGCTGCTGGGCACAGGCTGGCCAGGACACAGCTGGTCCACAGCAGTGAGGGGTGGGAAGATGCCCAGGCTGGGGTGGTGGCCTCAGGCTCCTCCCCGAACCGCTGCAGGCTCTGGCCTGGGCAAGAGCCGGGCTTGGTCCCCCAAAGCCGAGCCAGCAGGACACAGCTATCCTGGAGATTGGCACAAGGACTGGCTCCATGCGCTGTGCCCACTTTTCTGTCGAATTCTCAGCACCAAATGCAACACTGCCTGGGAGGTTTGGTCCCGCCAGAAGTGTCATCCATCCAGGCTACAGCATTGGGACCTCCCACAGGTTTTCACTCAGCCTCTGAGTCACAGCCATTGAACGACAGCAGCAGGGCCATCACACACATGGTGCCAGACTCCTGCTGTCAGCACTCAGGAGGCTGAGGCAGGAGGACTGCAAGTTGGAGGCCAGACTGGGCAACACAGTGAGTATAAAACCAGCTCAAATTACATAGCAAGACCTTGGGTCAAAAAAGGTGCTTGGACGGTTTCTAATTCCTTCCTCCAGCTTTTTGTGGGTCTGTTTAGCTTGAAAAGCTCACAACATCACTCCCAGGACCATTTTCGACATAGTAATTTTTCTTTATTCAGGATGAATTAACCAAGGGATTCTGCTTTCTTTGAAGAAAATGGGTAAACAGTAGGTGTAAATATTAAAAGGTTACATTATCCCAGTTAAATACTGCTTCAAATATTGTATTCTTGAAAAAAATAAC